ATATATATATATATATATATATATATATATATATATATATATATATATATATATATATATATATATATATACACACACATATTTACACGTAGTCCAAGACCAATATTTATAAGCATGAATAACAAATATAAAGAAAAAAAAATTGAAAAAGAATTATGATAAAATGAAATATCAATTGTTTAGTGTCGCCTTTTCAGGATTATACTCATTGGCAAGGAAAAGTATGCCTCGGTGCCTTGATTGACACTAAAGTGCCCCCAAAGCGAGACGAACCGCTCAACATGTTTTGAGCCTCGCTTCGGACTTAAGCGCGCTTTAAGCGAGCCTTTGACAACACTGGATTAGTTATACGAAGATGCTAATGTTTTGATTTTTATGCTTTCGTTGAGACATGAAGCTTTTAAACATATACTGACTTTTGACATATAAACAGAAGAAATAAAGTATGGGTGTCCTATATTGCAACTCTCTTGGGAACAAAATAGGCCGCTTAAGGTAATTAAGGTTTACCATTTCATTTCTTCCCACAATTTCTCATCATATCATAAAAGATTACATTCACAGAAGAAATCACAATATGGGACAACAAAACAAAGGCAACTTAATGTTCAGACAAATGAATTAGGATGTCGTAATTACGGACAAACCAGAATTTCCATTCCTAAGTAGAGGGTTTTAAGTTGTTATGACCTAGCATGTCTATCATTCACAATGATATAAAGCAAGAAAATCTTTTCCATTAACCACCACAAAATTTCAATGTACTCACGTTTGTGGGTAATTGTCACGATCCAATTAAGGATCGAGACGGCGCTTAGGAGCAAGTTCTCCCAAGTAAGCCTCATCGGTAAATTTACAGAAAATCGGGCAGAGTTTCCCCTGTTTTTGGACAATCCCAAAAAATTTCCTGTCTCAAATCAGCGATCAAACAACCTAATAACAATTCAACCGGCAATTGACAACTTACCGATTAGACAAAATAAGTCTCCACCATTACTAATCAACACACTAACAACCAGAAATACTAATTTATCTCCGACTTTGATAATAAAGAACGATACTCGACATAAAACTAATAGCAAAATAATACACATAACACTAAAAGAATGACTATGGAGCGACTCTAAGAATTCAAAGAAAAGACCATAACAATTGATAAAAATCTCCGCCCACGCGAACAAGTGCGAGGCTCACCAAGAATTCTCAACCTGTGCGCTCTAATTAACGAAATCTTCGCCTGCGTCAACTGCTGTCTCTGTAAAAAAAATTTTGCGGGGAATGAGTCGCTAGCTCAGTGAGTAATAACACTTAACCACAACCGTTTTTATTTGGGGACAAGTCAGAAAACATGCTAGTATATCAAACAGAAAATAACATAAAAATGCCCTTTCAGAAACAATAAATAATTTTCAGTCTCATCACGCTTTTCTTGTAATATAATGTAATTAACAATTCAGTAATAAGCTCGGTAACCACTGTATAATATCAGTATTCAGATTTTGGGAGGTTTCAATGAACGGATCATGTAATCGGTATAACTGTGGACTTCTTCGCAAGAAGTCAAATATAACGGTAGTCCCTACTCGAGGGAAGTCGGTAACGGTATGCTAGTTCTACCTTCCCACTAGCGAGGGCTATAACGGTAATCTGTAATTACAAGGTGCACCAGGTCTAACGAACCCGCCGTTAGCTAGGGGATCCTTCAATGTCTACTCCCATTTATACTTGTCTCTGTAATCCATATATACTCGTAGAAACAATTTTAAAACAATATAGGGCATTTCGGTTCTTATCAAATCATATACTTTCCTTTCGATAACAGTAAATTCAAGTAACTGTCAAACAGATCTAGTGACAACGAAAATATTTAAAACCACGGTATTCATCTCAAATAACTATTTCGGTATCATATCGAGTAAAAGACTTGTCCCACATGCAACTCAAAATAATCGGTAACATATTCATATTAAAAATCATGTGTAAATCATGCAAGTTATGAAAACACAAATTGCGGTAAGATTACTACTCACAGTACTCGTGCCGAAATACCAACTGCTTCTCCTGAAGCAACTCGTACAAATTCCTACAATCAATCTATATTTACATAATATCGATCTCATGTTAATTTTCTTATTTAGGCTAATTCATGGCTATTTTAGAATACCCAACCCTCGAGGTTTCATGTTTGACTCTTAATTTGCCCAGAATAATTCTTATTGGTATTTAATTTCTTATACCTTGTGAAACCCTTCAATTATATGAACTGAGATAAAAAGAATTACCAGAAGAAAAGAACCCAGATGAAAAATTCGAGTATTACCCGTAAAAACCAGTGCGTATTTAAGATTTCTCAAGATTTGGTTCTAGCCTCTTTCTTCTTCTCCCTTTCTTTCCTTCTCTTTTTTTTTTCGTTCTGAAGCTTCTACTGCGTCGAACTCAGAAGACCTTTCTTATCTTTTGTTTTGTCATTTGAAGCTTTCTGCTTCTTTTCCTTAGAAGGGTGCAGATAACCCTTTTTAAATTTGTAATGGGCTTCGGCCCTTTGTCTTACTTCCTTACTTTTTTTTCCCTTTTTTTATTAGTTCTTATTTTATTTTTAATAGATGGTTGCTTATTATTATTATTATTATTATTATTATTATTATTATTATTATTATTATTATTATTATTATATTATACTAATGACCAATACACCCTTATTAAAAATATAGGGTATTACATCCACCCCACCTTATGGAATTCGGTCCCCGAATTTAACTCAAGTTCGTACCTGTAGACTGAAACAAATGGGGGTACTTGACTCGCATAGTGTCTTCTATTTCCCAAGTAGCTTCTTCAACTGTATGATTTCTCCACAAGACTTTCAGGAACACGATTTCTTTTGACCGTAGTTTTCTTATTTGTCTATCAACAATAGCCATTGGCTCCTCCTCGTAAGAAAACTTCTCATCGAGTGGTATAGTCGGTGCTTCAGTCACCTGAGATGAGTCTGATATACATTTTCTTAGCATTGAGAAGTGAAACACTGGATGAATAAAGGACAACTCAGGAGGAAGTGCCAAATGATAAGCCACCGCTCCCACTCGGTCTAATATCTCATACGGTCCTGTAAACCGGGGGCTCAACTTGCCTCTTTTCCCAAACCGCATTACACCTTTCATAGGGAAGACTCGTAGGGACACTTTGTCTCCAATTGTGAACACTAATTCTCTTCTTCTCTTATCAGCATAAGACTTTTGTCTGCTTTGAGCTGCAAACAATCTCTGTCTGATCAACTGGACCTTGTCCATAGCTTCTTGTACTAGGTCGGGTCCCAATAAGTTAGTCTCACCAGCTTCAAACCATCCGATAGGAGAACGACATCTTCTACCATACAATGCTTCATACGGTGCCATTTGAATACTGGACTAGAAGCTATTGTTGTAAGCAAATTCAGATAAAGGTAGATAAGAATCCCAACTACCTCCAAGCTCAAGAATGCAAGCTCTCAACATATCCTCCAAGATCTGTATAGTACGTTCAGACTGCCCGTCTGTTTGTGGATGAAATGCAGTACTGAGATCTACTCGCGTACCCAATGCTTCTTGAAAAGATTTCCAAAAGCGTGAGGTAAATTGTGATCCTCTATCAGAGATGATGGATATTGGAACTCCGTGAAGTCGGACAATTTCATTCATAAATATCTGTGCATACCTGACTCCACCATATGTAGTCTTCACCGGCAAAAAGTGTGCTGATTTCGTCAGTCGATCTACAATCACCCATACTAAGTCATAACCTCTAAGGGTTCGTGGTAGCCCGGTGATAAAATCCATAGTAATACTTTCCCATTTCCTCTCTGGAATCTCAATTTGCTGTAGTAGTCCTGCGGGTCACTGATGCTCAGCCTTGACCTGCTGACAAGTCAAATAACTAGAAACAAAGTTAGCAACATCTTTCTTCATACCTTCCCACCAATAAAATTGCTTCAGGTCATGGTACATTTTTGGGGATCCAGGATGTATAGTGTATTTAGTGTTGTGAGCTTCTTTCAGAATAACATGTCTTAACCCATCTACGTCTGCTACACATAGCCTGTCACCCATTCGAAGAACACCATCACTTTCAACAATCATATCCTTGCTTTTACCAGCTAAGGCCTCATCTCTGTATTTGCATAATCGTTCATCCTCATATTGGGTGGCCTTAATGCGCTCAACTAGTGAAGACTTAGCCTGAGAACAAGCCAACAATGCCTCTGAATTTCCGACACTAAATTTGATACCTGTATCTTCTAGTCTCTGAATATCTCTGGCCAATAGTCTCTTTGTAGGGGCTATATGTGCCAAACTCCCCATAGATTTTCTACTCAATGCATCAGCCACCACATTGGCTTTTCCAGGATGATACAAAATAGAACAATCATAGTCTTTGAGTAATTCCATCCAACGACGCTGCCGAAGATTTAGATCTCTCTGCTGAAAGATATACTTCAGACTTTTATGGTTAGTATAAATCTCACAAGTTTCGCCGTATAGATAATGTCTCCAAAATTTTAGAGCAAATACCACTGCAGCCATCTCCGAATCATGTGTAGGATAGTTTTGCTCGTGCTTTTTCAATTGTCTCGAAGCATAAGCTATAACACGACCATTTTGCATGAGAACACATCCTAATCCCACCCTCGAGGCATCACAGAATACTGTAAATCCTCCATAACCTGATGGTAAGGCTAATATTGGTGCAATTGTCAAACATGTTTTGAGTTTCTGAAAGCTCTGCTCACATTCCTCCGTCCACTGAAACTTTGCATTTTTCTATGTTAGCTTGGTCAGCGGCACTGCTATTCTGGAGAAATCCTGCACAAAACGCCTGTAATAGCCTGCTAAGCCTAAAAAGCTGCGAATCTCTGTAGGAGAAGTAGGTCTGGGCCATTTCTGCACAGCTTCCGTCTTCTTAGGATCTACCATAATTCCATCTTTGGAAACAACATGCCCCAAAAATGATACCGAGTCTAGCCAAAGTTCACACTTCAAGAACTTAGCATAAAGCCGATGTTCTCGCAATGTCTGCAATACAGTCCTGAGATGATCCTCGTGTTCTCCTTGGCTACGAGAATATATCAGGATATCATCAATAAATACTATTAAAAATCTATCTAGAAATGGCTTGAACACCCTATTCATTAAATCCATGAATGCCGCTGGAGCATTAGTCATTCCAAAAGGCAACACAAGAAACTCATAGTGCCCGTATCGAGTTCTGAAAGCAATCTTTGAAATATCTTCATCTTTGATTCTAAGTTGATGATAACCAGAACGGAGGTCAATCTTTGAAAAGTGGGCAGCTCCTTGTAACTGATCAAACATGTCATCTATACGGGGCAAAGGATATTTATTGCGTATTGTTATCTTGTTCAATTGCCTGTAGTCAATGCACATTCTCAGGGATCCATCTTTCTTCTTTACGAACAGTACTGGTGCACCTCATGGTGATACACTAGGTCTAATAAACCCTTATCTAACAAATCCTGTAACTGTTGCTTTAGCTCCCTCAACTCTGCTGTGCCATTCGATATGAGATGTGTGTAAGGTAGCAAATCAATACCAAAGTTAATTTCTTATACTGGAGGCAATCCTGGTAAATCCTCGGGAAATACATCAGAAAATTCTCTCACTACTGGTACATTTTCTATACTAATTGTTTCCTTTCTTGTGTCATTTACAATAGCTAAGAGACCCAAGCAACCCTTCTTCAGAAGTCGTTGAGCTTTCATAAAAGATATAATTTTGCAAGTCTCTGGAACCGGACTCCCTCTTAGAATAAAACTGTGTTCATTTGGTATCTTAAACTTAACTATCTTTGCATGACAATCGACTATAGCATAGCAAGAAGATAACCAATCCATTCCCATCAGCACGTCAAAGTCAATCATATCAAGTACAATAAGGTCAGCTAGAGTATCTCTACCCTCAACCCGAATTTGACAAGCACGATACACGTATTCAGCTAATAGAGACTCTCCGACAGGAGTAGCAACTAGAAAAGGATCATTCAATAGCTCGGGATGTCTACTAAATCTCAAAGCAAAGTACAAGGACACATAGGAGTGAGTAGATCCCAGATCAATCAACGCAAGTGCATCAAATGAACAGACAGAAAGAATACCTGTAACCACTGCATTCGAGGCCTAAGAATCCTGTCTAGTAAATGCAAAAACTCTCGCCTGACCTCTACCAGCATTCCCTTGTCCTTGATTCACAGTAGCATGGTCTC